ATAAATAATTTGTGACGGAACGAAAATATACTGTTTGTCTTTACTTTTTGAATATGATAAGTAAATAGCGGCGAAATCAGAAAATTTATTAAAAATATTTAAAATTTAATATAAATATAGAAAATAATATATAACTTATATATATAATATAATTTTTAGGGAAAGATAATTAATAACACATGCCAATTAATAAGTTTATCTAACAAAGTTTGAACTCTCATTAATTTGCCTTCATTTGATGATGATTACAAAGTTAAGCTCTTTTTCTTTATATTTTATTTTGGGGAAAGTATATCTAATTTTATAGTATAACACTAGCTTATGTGTAATTGTACCACCAAAATATTTTATTAATTAATATATATATGTCCAAAAACTTACGAGGAAATGGGTAAACAACTTTTACTCAAATTTGTAGAGAGTTTAGGCTTTATATATTATTGAAAGAATCAATATTTCAGAAAGTTTTTTGTCTTTATATCACAAGACAATATACTTTTCCTCCTAGATACTAAGCTTGTTTAGTAAGTTTAATAAATACATTGCCAGAAATGAAAAAAAATGAACATCTATTTATTAATAATCGAAGGATCAAAATGTTATTATCCCTTTCTTAAATTATCTTAGATAATACTATTTACTTATAGACCAAATAACTTATATTTACAAATTACAAGAGACAATATTAATCTCGGTCGTATAATTTCAATCATAAAATTTTTACCTCTATATATTCTTTTCTTCAAATAAAATAGTGTTTCTATTTTACGGAAGGTTAGAATGGAACATAGTTTATTAATATGGATCCTAGTATGATCGATAAAATCCCCCATCTTAATAGGAGAGGTCCAATGTTTGAATTTGAGGTATAAAAGAAGTCCTTGTAATGATGTTGTTTTTAGATGAGCCTTATGCGATGTGAAATCAGATTAATTATAATCCTCAATATAAAATCACAGACATTAGTAAGATTCTTAAATTATATATAATCAATTTTCTTAATATTTAATTCATAGTAACGATATATATCGTATATTATCTTTTTTTTGAAAAAAAAATATAATTTTTTTTTCTATTTTCAACCAAATATTAGACTTATCTTTAGAATTAATTTTAAAAAAGAATAGTTGGTTAGGGAAATGAAGTCACTCTCAACACAAACTTAGCTGTACTTGAAAATGATTCTTTCATTTAAATAACCCTGAGGGGTAGCTCAGCTGGTAAAGGCCTGGGACAAAGTCCTTCAGGTCGCCGGTTCGAGCCCCAGCAGGGCCACTGGAGGCATTACAAACCGGCCGCGTCTCCAGGGCCCCGTGGAACTAACCGTGGTGGACCCGCCTTGAAACAGCGGGACCCGGTGGGTACAGCTAGTCGGGTTCGCAAAGCGACGCCCGGAAACCACGGTAAAAAAAAAAAAAAAAAAAAAAATTCTTTCATTTAAATTACAACAAAAGGATTGGTTACAGCTGTATCCAATTTAATTTCTTTCAACCATTTTCTCCACTTCCTAAAATTAAAAATTGCTAAAAAAAACAATCCACAAAAAGGTCCCACAAGTCTCTATTCTTTTTCTTTTTTTTTTGAATGAAAACACTTATTTATAATGATATTTAAAATAGTTTATTTATATAATCCATATATAAATCACAAACTTTTTTTAAAAAGTTTCTCTATTATAAATCTTCAAGATATCACGATTGATGTATGTTGGAAAGAATGATATAATGACTAACATATTATAAATTGAATTAACGTATCATAAATTCAAATTTCGATAGCAATTGGTCTTATGTGTGGGTTTAAAAGTCCGATCAAATAAAAATATCACTTGTTTTAAAAGAAATAGTATATACTTTAAGAAACCCAAGTAATAAATATGTATGCATAATTAATGTAGTTTGTTATAGTAGAGCATCAAATTAATACTTCCTTCGTTTTATAATAATTGTTCATTAATACAACTATTTTTAATAACGTGGACGAACGGAACGAGTAATAGTCCTTTACTTTCTCCGCCTGTTTCGTAGAAAATAATGAAACCCCATGTCTCCTTTGTCTCACACTCTCTCTCTTTCCTCAAGTCGTTGTTATTAATTTAATAAATAAAAATAAATATACAGAAATATGTGTTTCCACTTTCAAAATATGCATATAAATAAATAATTTTACTATACAATATAGTTTAAAGATCGGTTCTTTTCGTGATCTGTGCAGAGTCTACATAATACCAGTTCTTGGGTTTTGGTGGATTTGCTTCAATCATTGCTATATATGCATCTCTCTTTGAATCATTCACTTTTTATACTACTAATTGGGATCTACTAAAGAGAGATAAAAAGGGGTGAGACCCATTTTGGAATTTTGGGTTTTCAAAGTGAAAAGAAAAGTCTTTTTATTTTTTTGAATGACAAAGTTATGAGGATTTTCTCAGGCTTTTGGAAGGATTTGAGTGTTTGCAGCTCTAAAAGTGGCTTTGGTGTTGCTATAAAGGAAGAGAAAGATTCATTGTAAAAAAAGGTGGGTTTGTTTTGTTATCTTATTACAGTATTTATTATAATCTTTAATTTCATGTTTATTTTTGGTGTGTTATATGTGGTTTTGTGCTAATTTTGAGTAAATGTTAAAGATGGTTGACCTTTGTTCAGTGTACAGGTTTCTTGTTTGAACAAGTTGAGCACAATTAATGGTTAAAAATTGTATCTTTGGAGGATTTGAAACTTGAAAGACCCAAAAAAGAATTAGTGGACTTAAAGTTTTTTTTGCTTTTAGCTTGTTTGTCAGGAAAATGCTAACTGAAGTGATTTTTTTGTTGTCAGAAGCTATTGTAATTGGTAAACTTTTGAGTGCTATGTAGAAGTGACTATGATTCATGAAAACAGTGAATATTTTTTTCAAAAACGACAACATACCCTGTGAAATTTGGAGTGGGGTGTTCTGGTGGTAGAGTGTATGCAGAGCTTACTCCTACCTCGGGAGGTAAAAAGGGTGTTTTTGAAAGACCTTCGGCTCAAGTGAAGCAAATCAAAGTAGTAATGAAAAAAAAAAACGATAGTGAAGAAAACATGGCAACTAATAGAAAAGCAGTGAATATCCTTTTCATGAAGTATCTAAATAAGCTAGATATGATTGCTTGTGTAAAAAGTTGGAAAGTAGGGAGTTCTTAGGCAGAGGTGGATTACAATACATGCTTTCTAGCAGCTTTTAGAGAACTTTTCCTGATTAAGAAATGTTTTGTGAGCCTTGTTGAGCTATTTACCTGGAAATGTGTTTCATTTTATTCTCAACCTTGATTACAGCACATAAAACAACATATTTCAGATTCGCTAAACGGTTGACCGTTATAGAAGAAGACGGCTCAAAGATTGCACTGAATAATACAATTAGCACTGAATAGAACCTATGTACTGTTCTGCAGAAATAGAAACAATTACCATTTTTTTTTAAAAATAATACAATTAGCACTGAATACAATATTCTTGCTCTTACTTTTAAAAATTAAAGTGAAAAAGCGTCAAGAAGTGCAATTTTGAAAGGGATGTAACATTTGATCTTAGGATAGTACTAATGTGTAGTAGTTGTTGCGTTTCTTGTCGTTTTTCCTCTTTCTTTGAGGTTTTTTCCGTAAAGTATACTGGAAGTGGGAAAGTGGGTTGGGAGGGGGTGGGGGGACCGAATGAATAGGTTATGTTGCTACCTACGAAGTTTAGAACTTCAAGGTATGTGACCATTTTTGTAGTAAAATTTGACACCTTACCTTTTGCTGCTTCTGGGGTGGTTACAGTTTGCTCAACGTGTTCATGTTTTCTCAGACTATCCAAACATGCCAGTCTTTTTTCAGGTCTGTTTACTTGGACCATGAGGTAAGTTGTTTATCAGTTGTACTTCACTAAGGACATAAGCTTGCACTCGATAGACTGATGGTTTTTGTCTTATCAATGTCTAATAAACAAGGGAGCCAATTTACCCTTTTGAGATATAAGTATATTATATTTTGAGAGCCATGTTAAGAAAATACGTGGATATTGTGCTATTTAGAGGTTCAATTTTATTTTACTGGAGGATGTGAATCAAACATACCAATCAAAATGAAGTGCTTTTACTTGCTGTGATCTCTCTGCACCAAATGGCTGATATTTCTTCCTGCGCAACAGTTCCTTTTTATGGTGACCATATATATTAGATTTTTCCATACATATCTTTCTCCCCTCTTGTTACAAACATTATTTCGTATTTCGCATATGTATTAGATTATTCCACACACATTTCATATTTCATATAGTCACCATATGAGTATATGTATTAGACTATTACAACCTCAAGTAGAAAACGCTTGAGGTTTTACAGCTTATTGAGGTTATGCATTTAATTAAATGAGACGACATATTTTATGGGGTTAACTTACTTACCTAATAGATGAATGAAAACACACGCAAAAATTTTCGCAAATTTGCACAGAAGGTGTAATTGAAATACTTTATTAGGAGTTGAGGGTTCAATTGTAACAGAGCTTAGTTCGAGTGTCTAAATGAAATATCCTGGCAAGTTTAAGGGGCTGGCTATGTATTAAGCCATTTTTTAAAAGCGAAGGCGGCAAAAAGGTCAGAAAACTAATCGTTTACTTATGTTGCCATCTCTATTCCCATGGGCATTTCATGGAGATGTGATGTCCTATATCTCTAGTTCTAAAAAGATTACACTGTCAATTTCATTTAGCATTGCGCAAGTGTGATAATTTGTTTCGCTGAAAAACTGTAGACGTAGAAAAAAACTGGGTATTTAAGTGTAGAAGGGTAGACGGGAGGGACCCATTCTCCACTGAATTTCAAACCATTGCCCACTAGCCCTAGGAAATTTTTCAATTATAAAGTAGAAGTACATTAAATTGAATGTTTCTCATTACTTTGAGTGAATAATAGGGAAATCTACTTTCTGCAATTGAATGTGGAATTTGAGATAACTCCTGTTTGACCTTTATTAACTACTTCTAGTCTCCCCATCCTAACCTTCACTTGTTGACTGACAGGATTTAATAGATTGTGAGATCGAAGTGTACAGCATATGGCAATGTTTTGACCAGAATGGATCCTCAGGCTTTTATTAGGCTGTCAATAGGGTCGTTGGGGTTGAGACTCTCTGGGACAACTTTAAATGGTACAAAATCAGGGATAAGTGCACTCTCTTCTCCCTGTGTATGCGAGATCCGTCTTCGAGGTTTCCCTGTACAGACATCATCTGTTCCCTTTATTTCCTCACCTGAAGCTACTGTGGATAATTACAACGTTGCATCCAGCTTTTATCTTGAAGAATCTGATTTGAAAGCCTTACTTGAACCTGGATGTTTTTATGCGCCTCACGCATGTCTAGAGATAGTTGTATTCACAGGACACAAAGGTGGCCACTGTGGAGTTGGTATTAAGAGACAGCAAGTTGGGACTTTTAAGTTGGAAGTAGGTCCTGAGTGGGGTGACGGAAAGCCAGTCACTCTGTTTAATGGCTGGATAGGAATTGGCAAGAACAAACAGGATACTGGAAAACCTGGAGCGGAGCTTCATTTGAGAGTGAAGCTGGACCCTGATCCAAGATATGTTTTCCAGTTTGAAGATAAAACGAAACTAAGTCCCCAGATAGTACAGCTTCAGGGGAACATCAAGCAACCTATTTTCAGTTGCAAGTTTAGTCAGGACAGGTACTATATGGTTCTTTTTATTTTTCAAATATGCTTCAGTTCAGGGTACTAAATTTAAGTTGGTTCATTTCTATTCCTTACTCTTAAATCTATCTGTTTGTAGTTTTTCACCAGAGACGATATAAAGTGCATTTACAAGGCTTATCTTGTCTAACCCTGTTTTCCTTCCCTAACTGATTTTAGAATTCGGGTCTTTTCTGTAATTGTTGTGTGTTATACTGAACTTACAGGGTATCTCCGGTAGATCCATTAAATAATTTTTGGTCAACTTCAGTTGATGGTTCTGAACTTGACGTAGAGAAAAGAGAGAGGAAAGGATGGAAAGTGAAGATACACGATCTCTCTGGCTCGGCTGTTGCAGCAGCGTTCATAACAACTCCGTTTGTGCCATCGACAGGTTGTGATTGGGTTGCCAAATCCAACCCAGGAGCTTGGTTGATTGTTCATCCTGATGTTTGCAGGCCCGGATGTTGGCAGCCATGGGGAAAGCTTGAAGCATGGCGTGAACGTGGGATCAGAGATACCATTTGCTGTCGCTTCCATCTTCTATCTGAGGGGCAAGAAAATGGTGGCGATCTCCTCATGTCTGAGATCTTGATCAGTGCAGAAAAGGGTGGTGAGTTCTACATAGACACGGACAGACAGGTTCGAGCAGCAACGAGTCCATTGCCTAGTCCAAGAAGCAGCGGAGACTTCGCAGCACTAAGTCCTGTTGCAGGCGGCTTTGTCATGAGCTGTCGAGTACAAGGGGACGGGAAATGCAGCAAGCCCCTCGTGCAACTTGCCATGCGACATGTGACCTGTGTGGAAGACGCAGCCATTTTCATGGCGCTTGCTGCTGCAGTTGATCTTAGCATAGAGGCATGCAGGCCTTTTCGCAGAAGGCTACGGAGAAGTAGTCGCCATTCCTGGTGATGTATACACAATGATAGGGAAATACTGATTGATCTCCTTCTCTAATGAAGTAAGCCAAGCCCTTGTTGTTTTTCTCCTGATTGTTGTAACAACTTGACATCATTGTATAGAACCAACTTAATCTATATTTATGAACTGTCTTCTCAAAAGTTGGTTCATTTCGGTTCTTACTCGTGCAACGATCCAACGGACAAGATCCTCAGGACCATCATGGTTCTGTTATGTCCTCGCCATCTTAATCAAATCTGAACAACATTATCTCAATGCAAGTATCAGGAAAGACAGATCTAAGTTCATGTTTCACTGTTACACAAGGAATATTTCCACGCACATATATAGATTTTGGATGTTACTTGTAACATACGTTTTTAACCTTGGTCTTGGGTCGTTAACTTAAACTAAACAATACCTTTCAAGAATAATGGATGGGGCACAAACTTTTAGGAACTCAACCAAATGAATTGACCAGCAAAAGTTAACAAAACAATCTAATCGACTCAGGTCACACATATTTCTCCCCAGAAAAAAGGGCCACTATGCTGTAAGCAAAACAATCCAAGAGCAACAACCAGAAATTGCCAAAATCTTGAACATAAAAGTCACATGTCATTACAATAGATAATGGTACAATTACTTTTACAAAACGGCCTGAAGCTCGACTAGGTACTCCCTAGCTTACTATGAGGACAGTGCTGCGAATTTACAGTCTTCCTTGAGCTTCTTCCTCTACAGATAAATATACCAACAACAACATTCTTGCTAACACAGATAAATCTGGTTATCCAAAAATTGATAACCATCCTATAGCACTACTCCTTGACCTGTAATGGAAGTGTATATTCCATCACGCTTGGTAGGTAATGCGACTAATCTTGTTGGTGCTTAATTTAATGTTTTCTCTCCCATTTACTTTCCCGTCTACCATCCCGTTCTCTTCGTTCCACAATTTGCCTAGGCTTACTCCCCCGGGGACCATGCCTTTGAGACGACCCAAAGTTCATGGATGGTCCCTCAAGTGCTGATACCAGGTCTGCGTCCCCAATACTCCCTGTGTCCCCCGAGTCTTTACTACCATCAAAGTTTTCTTCATAGCTGCTGCCACATTCATCTCTGTCACGTGATTGTAGAATAGTTGGATGTTGGCCAGAGAACTGCCTTGCCCCTGATAGAACAACAGTAGGCATGGTTACCATTGATGAGCTTGTAGCAGTTTCAGGCTGTGTCATCCCTGTACTAGTTCTGGTCCCTTCATTACCTGCTCTTCCCATTTCCCTTTCACGGTATCTTTCTCGTGGCCTACTGCATTAGATTGAAAAACACATCAAGAGAGGATTCCTTGGATTTCAAAATTCTGTTGCACTAAACCACTGTATTAATCAATTGTCAAGAGCAAAAACATAATCCAATGGAAGTCAGTAATAGCACTCTCAGTTTGACACTTAATACTGGTTGAGAAACAGACCAACTTATTGCTGCTTGATGTTGCAACCATTTTGTTGACAAGAGAGAGAAGAATAGGACAAATATGATTTATTTACTCCCACTGCCACCATTTTTGGAGGCAGTGATGTGACATCTACATTAAACAGCCTTTGAATGTGCTGTTGAGACCATGATATCAGTTCTCACAACCAGAATCCCATGGACATAAGCAACAAACGCTAGAAAAGAATTACTAATTCTACTACCCATCAAATTTAGTGCATTCATAGTTCATAAAACAACACTATTTTTGAGTAAGATTAGAGGGGATTTCTTCTCATCCTGGAACAAGAAAGGGACTCTTCAAATCTTGCATGACATAACAATGATGTGCTCAATCAATTTGTACCATCTATATGCACAGCTAACATTGCATTCTTGAGTTATTCCCACTGGACAGTAAGAATTCTTTTCTTTGTAGAAGACAATTCAATAGCCATGAGAAAGAAAAGCTAGAGGAAAGAATTACTAACTCAACCATTGGAAAATGCAGTATTTTCATTGTCCATAAAAACAAAATTATTTGCCTGAAGAAAAAAGTAATCCCATGTTCATCTTGGACCAAGGTAAATCTTGTGGTAATCTTATATGACATCGAAGTGACAAGCCTGAACAATTTAGAAAGACTTTATGTGCATGGCAAGTGCTTCCACCTGTTTATGCCTTGACATTCACCCTTGCCATTATACAACATAACCTAGACATAAGAGAATTCTTATGTCCACCGGCAATAACTAAAGCAAATGTTGCAGTTTTGAAAAATGAAAAGGGGAGGTGAGAACCCCCCCCCCCGGAGGGAACAGGGTTTTGGAAGGAGTCTGAGCCAAAGATTAACCTAAACTAGTTTTCTCAACACAGAACATTCAGATGCCAAAAAAAAAATGCTATAGTTTATCATGAAACAAAAGTATTACGCAACAAAACTTACCCACTATTTGTGGATGAAAAATCTCGTCTCGATCGAACTCCAGATTCAACTTGCTCAAGTTCTCGTTGCAGTTCTCTCTGCAAAAAGATCAGGTGAAATCGGCATGCAAGACTTCCACTCCATCATATGAAACTTAAATTTAATTTAGCATAATCACTTACGATGAGGATACAAGCAGGGCGGAGCTATAGATAAGAAAGGGTGGTCAGCAGAACACCCTTCGTCGGAAAATTCGACCGTGTATATAAGTCTATTAACTTGATATCTTAATTAATGAACATGCTTAAACAACAGAGGCTGGCAATCCAGCGGTAAGGATGCTCATTTGCGTCGTTGAGGTCCTAGGTTCGATCCTGGCCTGCTGCGTTTTAACACAGTTTTTTATCTTTCTATTTCTAGCCTTAAATTTTATTACAATTTATTCAATGAATTTATTAACCTAATAATTAAGATTTATTGTTTCTATATATTCTCGATCCACATTAAGTGAATAGTTAAATTTTGTTACAGTTTATTCAATGAATTTATTAACCGAATAATTGAGATTTTATTGTTTCTATATATTTTCGATCCATTTTAAATGATTGTTAGAGTATAACATAGTCTTCTTTATATTTTTCGATCCATATTAAGTGAATTGTTACGCTTTATAGTTTTAAGTTTTCGTATGTTTTGGTTAAATGATATGTAATTTAATTTTAGATTTGGGTGGACCCACCCATCAGTAAAAAAAAAAAAAGTTTGGTGCAAACCACTCAACTAATTTTTTTTTTTCTCTTTTAAAGTTTGAACGCCCTTGACGAAATTTTTGGCTCCGCCACTGGATACAAGTTCTTTACACCGAATGGTGTCTCACACACTTACTTTTAAGATTACAAGGAAATGGTTAATCAAGTATAAAGGGGAGGGTGAAAGGTCCACACACTCCGCTGATGGAAATGTGTCATTAGGTCTGGATTAAGACAAACAATTCAAAGGAGAGAGCAACCAGATACTGAGGCAATATTTAAAAAGGAAGGAAGAGACAAAGGAAAAAGAAAGAAGAAAAAACTCGGAAAGAAACTTAAATAAAGTAAAAAAGATAATTTGTATTAGGAGTCTGAATTCCCTGAACAAAAAAGAAGCTTTTTATTTTTATGAAGCTGACATGATGTTTACTGCTGCTTTACATATTAAAAAATGTGTATCACTAGATATCCACTATATTCAGAAAAGTCACTCGGCATAAAGGGAAATATCGTTGATACAAGCAAAACCTAAGCATCCACTAGGCATCATTTTAATAGGTCTAATTTGAAACACTTTGTCCTATCTGTCATAACCAAGGGATGACAATTGAGCTATGATCATCTTTCATACCTGTGCTTGCTTTTCTTTCTCTAGATCAAGGCTGTGTCGCAACTCCCTGGTTTTTGTACGTTCAAGCTCCAGCATACGTTGTCTCTCAATCTCCTTTTCTACTTCAGCCATCCTCTCTCTAACACAGTAGCATCATGTAGACATTTTACAATTAACATGTTATCATCAAATAATGTAAGCACGAGAATTGAGGGACACTAGGAAAAACCTATCTAGCTCTTGTAGAAGTTCAGCTTCTCGAAGAGCTGCCTCTTCCAAGAACTTTTGCCGGGCATGCCTATCGAGTAGTTTCCTTTGCCTGCGTGCTACAACCTCCTCTTTGAGTTTGGCCTTTTCTCTGGTAAGAAGAGATACACATAAGAGCTTAAATAGATTAGTGATTAGTCTAAGGTCAATCTCCTCTAATTCTTTTTCTTCCTTGAGAAGATGAGTGTAGAACTAATAAGCGTCCTCAGAGAATATCGCGTGTTTCATTTTCTTCAATCAATCAGTTCTACTGAACATGGGTGGGGATGGAGGTAGGAGATGAAAGGCAAGATGCTCTATTGAAAGTTAAATTACTAACATCAGTTCACATCAGCACATCTGCATGAATTAGAGAGAACTTACCAGAACAAATAAATAGAGAACAAAAAACTATAGTCTAATGCAAAATAACCTTTATCCTGCATCAAATACATATAGGAGACCACCAACCCCACATTTTGTACAAGTGAATCACAGACATTGAAAGACATCTCAGTTACCCTAAAGAAAAGTACAAATCTAAACAAGTGCGTAATGAATTCACCAACCCCTAAAACGGGTCAAAAGGCAACGAAGAAAAGCAGAGGTTCATTTTTTCTTTTTTTTGGAGGTTCATTTTTTCTTTTTTTTTTCTTGGGGGGAGGTGGGGTAGCAAACAGAAAAGTAGGTATATGATAACAGTCAAACAAGTGCAAGTTGATTTTCAAAGTGATGCATAAAAATAAAGCTCTAACTAGAAAGAGTCAGCATGCCCAGGCAAACAATTGAAGCCCTGAGGCTACAAAGTGACAGTGAAGTGTGGATGTATGCAGAAACCCATGATAAATTAATGATAAGCTTATTTCTGAACACTCAACCAGCAACCAGAAGAAACAAAAAGATAAAACTGTTCAATAAATACAGCTACAAAATACAACTCTTATCCAAAGTATATATAGATTGTAGTTGGTGCATACAAGGATTTGATTTCCTCTTTGATTTGCTGCAAGCGGTTATCTTGCCTTGCCGAATCTGCACAATAGAATTTCAAAAGGTGAATGTCAGAAAATCTATGTGCCCCTGTCAATCGGTGTAGTTGAAAAAAAAAATAGCTGTAGCACTTTGCTCTGCGGTAGTTCACGCAACAGTATGAAGTCAACCTTTTATTCAGTGGAGCACCTAGCAGTCTCACTTACAAGAAAACATGCACTGATATGACGGATAGAATTTTGTGTTCCAAAGCATACAAAATATGCACATATTATTAGAAAGTATTACCAGTTAGGAAGGGAAGCTGATGCAGATCTTTAAATTCAGCTGATAATTCCTGCATTGTTTTTTCCTTCTGAAGAAGTTCCATTTCAATCTCGGCCTCCTCCAATTCCTTGAAGAATTGAAGCTACAGTGTCAAGAGAAAAGCTCAAGTAATAATGAATGTCATAAAGCTACCAAATCCTTACCAGAACTTTTTGGTGGCATTCCTTTGAGAAAAAGTCAAAGTATGAGTTGACAGTGGACAAATCAGATATGACCTGAAAAATTGAACGAAAAAATGGATACACAATATAGCATTCTAAAGACAATTAAGGTCAAATTAGAGAAAATATAGTTTACAGAAATACAAGAGGGTACTAATTACCAGTTGATGGAACTATCTACAGAGAGATGCCCAAACAACGAAATGAACAACTAATAAGTCAAGGGAAAGAAACATAATGAAGAGTTCAGAAACAGGAATCAATATAAACTGCCTTGTGCTTATTATTCTACAAGAGACAAGACAATAATATGAAGAAAGGCCATGAAAGGTTCAAGCGCTAGCTACAATAAAGAGAACTGAATTTTACTAACTTCTCTTGTTAGCATTTTGATTTATTCTCATTTTTCATTTTCACTTCAAATTACCTATTATTATTTCTTACATTGTAGGGTCTTTAGTTGTTGGTAATAGCAGGGCTTATTCCTAGAATGTCCATGTTAGTGTCAGAGAAGTCAGTATGCTAGATATGATGTACCCCTTTTTCTTTAGCAGTTAACATATCTATTTTAGACAAAGAACTACACCAAAGGTGTTCTTCAGTAATAATTACAAGTAGTATTCATATGAGCAAAACCTACCACCTAAACCTCATAAATAATCTGAAACACTAGGAATGTCCTCTGCCTCCTGAGGATATTCATGAATACGCCAAAAGTAGAAAAGCACTAGACAATTAATCTTCAACCTCTGAAGAGAAATACTCTTATCTTCAAAACACCTTTGGTTTCTCTCCCTTCCAAATTGTCCACCAGATGCAAGCTAGGACAATCTTCCATTTCTCCTTCTATTTCTCCCTATATTTTTCCCTCTGTCCTAACAGATTATCATCTCTATTCCGGCAAGCTAAAACTTCCAATGTACTCCTTGGCATAGTCCACCTGATTCACCTCAAGGTGATGAAAATCTGTCAAAGTTGTTCTGTCACTCTTTTTATGAGAATAAGTACTGTTGTATTCTTCAGCATTAAGGAATGCTGACCACCTCCAAGTACAATTAGACTCTAAGCTTTACAGAGCACCTAATAAATCTACCATCTCATCTAATTCCTCTATACAGTTCCCTTTGCACCAAATAAATAAAGACACTAAACAGTTCCATTTCACATCATGTATGAACTTGATCTTGTCTTCAAAACATCTTCCATTTCTTTTTCCTTACTGTCCACCATATACAAGAAGGTATTATCCTCCTCCATTTTTCCTGACTCTTGCCACCCCCTCTTCTCATCCAGAAGCTCATCAAATCAGCAGTATGCTCATGTATTGTCCATTCAGTCTTTGTGAAGCTGAGGAAGAGGTTCCACAGTTGTGTAGTGAACTTGCAATGCAGAAAAAGATGGTTATTTGTTTCCCCAGTTTCATTGCATAAAAAATATCTTGTCACTACTACTCTCCCATTCTTTTATAGAACCTCATGATGTGTAAGGCATGCTCTCTTCACCACTAGCCAAGTGAAGCATTTAACCTTGGTGGGAGCCATGCTCTTCCAGATGTTTGGGCACTCACCTTGCATCACACTATTGCCCTTGCACATTTTATTCACAGAGAATATCCCATCCCTGAATATCTCCATTTCAGTGTATCAGATTGTACAGTAGTGCCAGGAAAATTCTCCACTTCACTCAATAAAGTTGTCATCCTATCTACATCCCAGTCAGCTTCAACAAAAAACATCTAGGACATAGCTTCTGACCCCCTTTCCATTAGCTTATCTTGATTTAGGACAACTTGTTTTGCCACTAAGCATGTAAAGCATGCTACCTTGTATGGAATCTTGACTTCCCATATTATCTTCCAAGGCCAAAAGTCAGATTCTTTCACACTAAGGGGCCTTAGGGGCTTTATTGAAGTGATGAATGCTTGAGGCAAAGCGCCCAATCTGCATCATACCTAGCTTTAGAGCCTAAACATGCTTTGGCACACAGAACTGCCAATATTTTTTCTAGTGTTGTGCAATTACAGCTATTTCCTAGAGAAAACTCATCAGTGTGCCTCTTTACAATGAGCAACCTTTTACTATGGTAGTGTATTCATAATTTTTGTTGAGAATATAATTAAGTAAAGTCTACTTTCTCTAACAACATTAGCTTTTAGATGAGATGGTCACACACTTCCACATGACATTAGAGCAGGTAGAGGTCATGGGATCAAATCACACCACACCCATTATAAAAATAAAATAAAAGAATTTCACGTGCTTAACCCATGAAAAAATGAGGCCCGCACATGAGAGGGTGTGTTGAGAATATAATTGAGTAAATGAAGTGTGCTCTCTTTAACAACTTAAGCTTTTAGATGAGATCGTCCACACAATTCAACAATTTGCAAACTCATGTTAGACCATAAGATTGTTGGTGTACTAAAATGTTACACATTGTCCCAGATTGAGAAAAGGTATTATATATATTGTATATAATTCTATGAACACATTTATCCTGTACCCTATAATTCACTCCTCCTTTGTTAGTTCCTCACACGAGAGAAATCAACACAAATGTGAATAGGAAAAGACCACATCAGACATTGAACTAAAAAGGAATGATGCTGATGCTGATTGCTACCTTAAAATCAAATATAAATCAGCTGATATTTTTATCATAGAAAGCAATTATTTGTTTTAGTCAAACCAAATACCATATGTGTTCTAGACAATGTTCAAAGGTACAACTGGAGTTACTTTATACATATCGTGTCAGATGGAAAGTAGGACATCTTGATGAAACATAGATCATTAACAAGAGACTTACTGGACTAAGATTGTATATACCTGAAGGATTGTTTCGCGTGTATGACCAAAATCTGGATCCATTTGCTGCTGGGAATTTGAAGAGAGAGCTTCTTTCAACATCTTTTATCCATGCAAAGAAGTTCACGTTAGATGGACTTAACAGGAATAATGTTGTCAAGCTAATAGCTTGATAATTGGAGAGAGAAAAAAGAGAGCAGGAATTTAATATTTTGATGTTCGAAAATTCTATAAATCACTAAGAAAGTGACAAATGAAAATCGGTCTCCTTATTGGTCTATTACCTCTTTAGCCTCATCCCCTTCATTTCTCAGTCTACATAAAGCTTGGCAAGTTCTTTTCTCAAGGCTGACAGGAAATCTTTCTGGAAAAAATGAGACAAATTGGATAGCACAATAAGCACAATACTGACAGAACTCAATCTTAAATCTACTTTTGGTTGTAATAGAAAAGTACAAGAAAATTATACCATTTCCTCCTAATGCAAAGCTTTCAATACTGCTCCAAATATTTTCAGGAATAAGTGAAATATCTTCAACTGGAGAGTATAGGCAAATACTGGCAAAAAGTATAATCGAAAGTTGCGCTAATGGTCCTTCACAGGTTGGTTGTGATAGCTTTGTCAAACACTGTAGAACTGTATCAGCTGCTGCAAGAAATGATTGCAAGTTGCGTCTTTCAGAGAATGGTACATAGTTGACAAGAAGAGCCATTGCGTGGATTCTTAAACGCTGTGATGGGTCAGATGAAACCAGCAAAGCTACCTGATCCCATGTACCATAAACAAGCGCAGATATAATCGGCTCGCATGCAGAAGACTTACTTACTGATGAGGCTACTTTATCGCAAATACTAGAACATAATAAAGCAGACCCACTATGTTCATCTTGGCTCATGAGCCTCCCCAAGTGTTTAAGTGCAATAAATCGTTGCTCAGGCTCTGGATGGCAAATCATGAAAGAGAACAGATCAATCAGAGAACCTTCACATTCATGGTAGGTGTGGATGCCTCTTTCACATAACTGAGAGATCCATTGATCACTGTGAAGCCTCCAAGCAATACTTGGGGCACCATGCAAGAAATTTTTAACTGCAGAGCATACATTGCTAATTACACTATGCAAAGAGAAGCGTTGAGGAACAGCAAGTACAGAACCAAGGATCACAGAAGCAAGCTCCCACAAGTGGTTCTTTTGAAGCAATAGAATCATTTCTGCAAGTCCATCAAGACTGATTTTCCAAAAATCAGTGAAATCTGAAATAGATTTCATCTTAAGCAGAATTCCCTCTTCACTGCCTTCAGAAACTGGAACTTTCTCAGCAACCAAACATAAGCATCTTGAGTACACGAAACTTTCTGCAGAAACAAGGGCTAGACTGTCTGCTAATTTATGGTGAATCCTAAAGCATCGTTCAATAGTTGGATTTAGCTTAGAAATGAGTGCTTCTAGGTCCTTTAAGAATCTTACAACTTCCACAACTTTGAGATGGGACTTCTTGTTCACAACAGCATTATCATCCATGTTTGTTTCATTCATCTCAGTTGAGTAGATATCCAAAAGGAAAGTTGAGTGCTGTTCAGATCTATTATCACATGTTGCAGAATCCATTTCAGACAACGGAGATATAGCATAGGGAATGACACCCCAGCCTCTCAATGTCTCAAGTAGCAAAACTCTGCAATTTCTTATTACAGCCTGATATGCACAAAGATAATCATGAAATGAAGTAGTTGGCTCACAAGAAGCAAAATCAGCACAGGATATAGAAGACTGCAATAGTTCAACTTTGCGTTGCAAGGATAGATCCGGAAACACCGATGCCAAAACAAAAATTGGCATTGCCCTGCACAATCCATCCTCTCTTGGAGTGTTATGATTCTCATCTTTGATGATGTCAAAAAGTTCATCAAAGCATAATGATTCTAAATTAAGACATGAATCATCACTCACTAACTTCTCATTGGCAGAACATTTTCCCAAAGAATATGAGATAATTGGCTTTACCAATTGCAACACTGAACTGAGAAATGACACATCACAATATGAAGACCTACACAAGGAAACAAGAACTTGCATCAAGATTGGTACTTCTGGTACAAGTGCTTCCATGTGCTCAGCTACAATGGCTTCAAGCACATAAAAGACAATTGCTTTTGCATTCTTAGCAACAAAACCTTTTGCAAACCCAGTAGATCTTCTACAAAAAGGTTGGTTCTCTTCTCGAAAAAAAGGCCATGAACAAAAATCAGAAAACCAACACAATAAATCTGGTACAATAGCAGAAGAAAAGGATCTTAATTGCAAAGCAACAGCCTCCAATATAGATTCCCCAAAAACTTCAAACTCTTTTTGCATATTGGGAAAGAACTGATTTATGTCCGGGTATATAACAGAAAAAGACTGATCTCCATTCTGTGGACTACAACTTTCACCCCCTTTCCTAGAACTTGAATTGCTACCAGATTCTTCAATTTTCTTGTCATCTTTCTGCTCCAGGTGACCTACTACAGCAAGCTCATCTGAAAATATAGATAGGAGATATGTCAACTGTGAAAGATCTGAGACAAGGAAGAGTTTCTCCTTCTGATACTGTTTAGCATTACGAGATATTGCCATCCAGCCAAGAAAACGGGCAAGAGGGGAAGTTGAAGATGAGAATGCAGGTATTTTCTGCAGCCAAGCTGAAGCAGGAACTAGATTAGCAAACCGAAAACCACTCCTGTAGTTAATTGAAAGCTCGGACCCTTCATCACAACCACTTGAAGCAATTATCAATCTCTTAAGAAGAATCCAGCGACGTTGAACTGCCTGCAGCTTCCACTCATTAAACTGGACAATTCCTTCTTTTAATTGATAGTAAAAAGTTCTCAGCTGCTGGTTTAAGAGCTCAGCAGATTTTATGATTGTGTCAACAATGAGCACAGGAGGACAGTTCAATCTAGTTCCAGAGTGCAATAGAAACAGCAGAATTTGCAATAGTATCTCATGTGTCGGGTGCTCCTCTTTTTGCAGACGATGAATTAAAAAATCACATATAAGTGCTTGATTTTGACGAAGTAAGGTGATAGCATCTGCTGATTTTATATCTTGCTGAGATAAATCAAGTTTTTCATCATTCCCAACATAGGGAGTCATACATTCCCCGGCTGAGTTCTGCTGATACTTCCTGTCAAGCTCAGCTGCTTCAAGCATTATTTCAAGAACAAATTTGTCTCTTTTCCTCTCAAGATCTGCTACAATTTTGAAGTCATTGTCCTCCTCAAAAAGTTCTCGAAGAACAGAAACTTCATGGTTTTTACACGGCTTCTTAGTATTCAGTTTGTTCATAATAGGTGAGCTGTCCCTGGAAGACACCATAAAGAACGGATTAACATAACACTCTGCTGCTAAAAGCAAAGCATCTATAGCAGCATCATGACCCTCCGGAGTGATCTCACACTGAGAATGCAAGTCCAGAGCTAAACGCCTAAATTCAGAAGCTTTCATCTGACAATCTCGATAACTTACAAGCTGAAAGTAATCATCATGCAGATTAGAATACTCAACAGTATTATCAATAGCAGATAGCAAGCCATGGTCAAACTGATTGTTTGTGGACTTCTCAACAATTTGATTAATTTCCTTCTTGACATCAGAACTTAAGTCTCTGCACTTTTTCTCCAGGCTCCCAGAGACTAGTGAGATTCCATTGAGCTCTGGGGGGGAAAAGAGAAGGTTCACTTCCACAGGGATGTCTCCTTTTCCAGTCATATCAGAATCAACTTTTGCATCAGAATCCTCATGACTGCCAGATCTAGAAGAAGCTCCAGCATTGCGTAGGACAGAAGAAAGAGGTAAAACATTCAATAATTGTGGTCCTAGCAGCTCAACACTAGGAGATTGGCGAAGGTCGACATCAGAAGGAAGCTGCATGTGAGGTTCCAAAACTGAGAGAAGTACACTGCATATTCATTGATTCAAGACAAATATAGTTCAGTCAAGCAGTATGCATATCTTGGGAAAAAGCTTACTATCATATGCATATCTTGGGAAAAAGCTTACTATAAAATGCACTTAAGCACTAGTTACCAGACAGAATTCAGGATACCAGATAACTCTTTCACTATGACACATAATACACCTTTATATATAGAATCAGCTCAATAAAATAGTAACTATTTCGTTTCACCAATTACGGCTAGCAAAACAGCCCAATCGGATTCGCCACAACAATCATTCCCATTAAAGTTCTTTTACCTGACAAAGCTTTTGCCCTTTTTTTTTCTTTTCTCAAAGATTTACAGAAATCCTCTTTCCAAGATAATGAACAGTATATGGACTACCTTTGTCCAGGCCAGGCACATTGACGCCAACAACTAAACAATCAATCATTTACAAATAATAAGAATAGTCGTAGGACAAAGAAAAGTAGTTCTTACTTGCTTAGCACCAGTCTTAAAAAACATTGAAAAGATGTTTAGCACCGAACCTATTTTCAATGTAGAATATCATTTCCATCAGTACTAAAACCTGCTTTAATCAAGTACTTCATACAGGAAATCTGTCTTTCTGAGACGAATACAAGGTGAAAATTCCGAAGTAGATTGGCAGCAGAATTGAACAAGATGCAGGATATATTCAGAAAAAAACCGAAAAACTTTATTTCACATTTAGATAATTATGATCACTGGAATATATTCTATGCATTGGGTTTAGAACATCATGATACCATCCAGATTGATGACATCTTACTCTTTACTGAGCATAGACTACCAAAGTGGCTTTTAAATTAAAGATATTCCTTTCATAAAACTAGACACCCTTTCAAAGCACTATCTTACCTAGCTAACAAAATATCCTCCAAGTCTTGGTGTGCAATTCAGTGTTCTCTAAGACTCTCTTACAGAGGGTTAAACCCTGAAGCTAGGTGTGAAATAAGTTGTGCAAAATAGATTGCTTCACTTCACTTAAGTAGCACTTGGCTGCACGCACTAAGATGCTAAGGCATGCACATTTTTACCCATGAGCTCTGTAAAATATTCACACATTGGCCATATAAGGGATGGATGATCTCTTTAATATGTCTTGGGCAATCCTCACATCTTGAGCTAGCTTTTGGGTTGAGTTAGGCCCAAGATCCATTTCTTTACAAGCTGTCCTGAAGAGAGCCACATTGTCCAATAAGTACCTCGCTTAGTTATAACTTTTATGTTCTTTTATCTGCATCATTGTGGTTTGGGTTTATGGTCATTATAATTAACTACATATATATTTTTTATCTTTCCCTTCAGTTAGGCCTTTCTTCATTGAAGCCCATGTTTTTCTATCTTTTCTTTCAATGGACCCATAAGGTGACATCTAACTCAGCAATCTGAATCTGTATCTCCAGAGGTATAGGTTCCTCATTGGCCATTGTTGTTCTTGATCAATTGGAAAAAGCCTGCAATCAGTTTTTGGGTTGGATTGTTTCGTATGTATATAGATAGATAGCTTAGTTGACCATCACCAGATTGCAATTTCGCAACTTTCAAAAGCTGGCATCACATAAAACAGGATACAAAAGCAATTAATGGCACTGTTACATCAATTAACTGATACAAGCCCCAAAAAGGAAGTAAAGTATTTAAACATGCTACAAAATCAGCCATAAAATCAAAACAGTATAGAATCAAGAGGGGATAAGTTCTGAATTATAAAACAGGACATAGAATGAAGTAGTTCCCACAAAGAAACTCAATGTTTCAAGAAAGACTTGTGCATCCTTCTATTACCTTGGAACAACTGATCCGCGCCTCCACTCAGCTTCCAGAGAGGGAAGGACAGCAGGCTTGAGTACAGCTGTGTGAATCACATTTAACGCAATAGCACAATTTTTCTCTTGATTTTCAAGGACAACTGAAGAAACGTTCCCAAAGGCTATAATGCTCTGTGCAGGGGTTATTGCAGGATCGAGATATGGTTCTAGCATCTCAACAAGAAAAAGCACTTGGTGCTTAGCATCCTGAAATGATGAAGTTCCCAAATTTAAAAGTTTAAAGGTATTAAATCGAACAGCTAAAGAGCAATTGTAAGATTCCCTGAATAATACAACAACTACCCTCAGACCCAAACAAGTTGTGGTAGACTATATGAATCCTCATTTCTTCATTTAAGCTCATATCTTATCATCATTATAATATAATTCCCTGAATAATAATTGACAAAAATTTCAGTCAAAAGATTACCTTATATTTGACCAAAATATCATCCATAACGCCAGATAAAGCTAAGACAATATATTTAAGGGCTGCACGTGCACGAGCAAATGAGTGGTGGGCGCCCTGATACACATTTTGTCCAATGGTAAGTATTAATAAAAGCGTATATAATGAAAATGGGCTCTCAATAGCAAGAATATGGTTAGACAATGGCACCAAAAGTTAGAAATTATCTTTGCTTAATATGAAATATCCAATTGTTACAGCACAAGAAAAGATAACTGAATCATGACCTGGAGGACTGCCTAGAGGTACTATTATGGCACTACTGTCATATATCAGCAATGGCTTCTCTGTATTAGGTTGGTGATTAGTATCAGCATTATCAATTAGATATGCTTTTTATGTACCAGGATTTCAAAGATGTAGGCATCCAGCCGTAAACTACTGCAGTCAAAGGCCACCTTAAACTACTGCAGTCAAAGGCATCCACCCAGCATGTTTATTAGAACAATGTTGACTGTCTCCTTCAAAATCAAGGATACAGTAGATGAGACTGTAGAACAGATCCTGTTCAAGTAAGGTCGTTCGATGATGTTGACTACCATGCTTCATATCTTTTACCAAGAAACATTGTCTTCAAATATCTGTACTATGAGATCCTACAGAATTTGCAACCTTATCTGGCAGTTGCACTCATCAATGAAACATTCATCTTCCTAGTTGCAAATTTCCACTAAATCTACTTTTCTAGGCCTTCACAAAGAGATGAGAAATTACATAGGAATTTTGTTGCTGCATTAGGTACTGCACCAATATTCTCTCCATCATTCCTTGGGTTATTAAATGTTTAAAAAGGTTCATTGTCCACAAGCAAGTGTTTACTGGTCAATCAGATAAGCACAGAAAGCTAACTATAGTAAAATGAAAGAAAAATAAAAACACACACCTGGATTACAGGCAAAAGGTCCTCCAAAAGCTCAAGTGCTAAGTCAATCTGTATTAAAAGAAGTCTAAGAAGAAAATTTTCACAAGCAAGGTTGCAATGTAAAACCTAAATTCTACTACAGCCTACACAGCAGAGTAAGAAGAAAGTATTGAATAACCTTGGCTATCACTTGAGGCATCCATGGAGCCAAGACACCAGAGCAAAGATCAATGAGCACACATGCAGCCCTCCCCTGCCAGTATGTGTCAAATAGATTTTAGTAAAGAGAACCAACTTCAGAACAAGAAAAAACAGAACTAGATACTACTGTAAAATATATTTTTTTCAATTCATTTGTAACATCGTCTTGGATTGTATCATTCTTTCCTAGCTCTATATTTAATTAAATAACTGCATAGGGACCATGTTGAGAATGGTAACCAAAGTCCAAGCAGAAAACAGGCTCATCTTCCCAGATAAAATTCACAGGTAATGAAGCGAAGGAAAAATACACTTGGTTGATCTTGCCAGATAAAAATTCAATGGATAACAAACCAAAGGCTGAGAAAGACAAATGAAAAATGTTCAGCATTAACCAAAGTGCAGATGTTGTGTTGACAGAACAGAAGCTAAAACGAAGTGGGAAAACCTACATTTGATGGTGAAAATGATGATAGGTAACCTGCACAAGCACGAAGCAGAGGACGATACACTGATGAAGACGAAGTCCCAACAATCTGCACAATAGCAACCGTAATGACACACTGATTCTAGATTAAAAAAACACCAAAACAAAAGTTATGACAAGATCACAGAACTACCTGGGACAGAGCTTTCTGTACAAAAGGTTGTTTCCACAGAGACAAATCTTCATCAATTGGGTCACTACTGTTGATACTAGGACGAAGTGCTTCAGGTCATAGAAAAGCAAGAGAAAATAAGAAAAGGATAAAGAATAAATAATAAATAATTTAACTTGTAATGGAATAGGTGGGTGAGAGACACATCTTATATCCAACCAATGAGAGACTGACTCAAAAGTAACAGTCACTAGAATTTCATCAGAAAATTTGTTGTGGTAACATTAGCTGGAAGAATGATCAGAATACTGACCAATAGAGATGGTACTGCCAAAACAGTAACAAAACAAGACACAGTGTTGCCAAAACGGTCACCAGAAAGAGGAGCGGTTATGCGGAACAATCAACAGAAAGATATCGGAAACAATCACTGGAAAGAGGGGTTGTGCCGCCAGAGCAATTACCAAAGGCAATAGTAATAAGACTATGAAATGAAGAAAACTTAGGTCGGCAAACAGCATAAGTCTGAGTACTAGTAGGCGGAAGCCATTTAAATCTCTACCAAGATCATAAGAGACTCTAATATCGAGTGAAAATAAGAGAAGGAAAATAATGAATGTAAAAGATGATGATAATGGAATACAAGATACAATAAATATACATTTAGCTGACAACGGCCTAATTGAGTGTTAACTCTGACAGTCTAACTCAATAATATGTTTATATTCCTAATAGTAAGCATAATGAATGCTCTTCCGTTACTAAAATACTCAAAGAGGATTCAATATTCAATGGTGAAGCCATCTAACTAAAAGACAGTCCTGACAGAGAGGAAAAAGAACTCTCCACAAAACCCTAAGGTCTCAAATTGATATGCACTTCAGGTATAAAACATGTCAGTTTTTTCTTTTTTATAATGATAAAGGGAAAAAGACAATCAATTTTGAGCAAATATTAAATCAACGACGCAGACTATCAAGCTATGATCAAGTAATTATGGAACCGCAAAAGCGGTATACCTGGAAGCAATGCTTGAACTAGGGGCAATGCCAACCAAAAATCAGAAGCATTATCTGCCAACTTGCTGCAGTGTAGGGGCTGTTAAAAATGAAATGTTGAATGTCAAAAGAAGCATCAAATATTAGTACACATGAATACGGTGGTTTATCTGTAGCAGAAAGCTTTGGTTGTGATTGACCTGGGATACACAAGCATACAGAACATGTAAAATCCCTTCTTCCACTAGGCCAATATCTAAGACATTACTGAAAATGGAGTCCCATGTATATTCTGGTATCTTAAATTCATCTCCAAATAAATCTGAGTAATCAGCAAAAGAAGGAGGGGTGGAAGGGTCAGATTGTGATCCTTCATCAGGCACTGAAGTTGTAATTTCACTACAAGAATGTGAAGCTTCTGGCGGCTTTATTATAGGCCCAAGAAACTTCCACAGAATCCAAGAGGCCTAGATATAAGACAAGAACTGAAATTAATATAAAAGCAAAGGTTACTTTTATTCTCAAGAAACTTCAAATCACACAGTTTTGAACTCTCAACATTTTGGAAACAAAAAATGGAAGAGGCACAAGTAAAAATTTGTATCTAGTTAAATCTTGCTTTATTTTCTTTCTGTTACGTCTTCTAATTACTCAGAGGAAAAAGCGAAGGACAAGCTTTTTTTAATAGGGAGAAAGAGTAAGTGTATTACCACTCTGCAAATATTTCCCAGGTTAGAATCCTTGTAAGCTTTCCTCAGTAAAATGAAGATGGCATCTGGACGAAAAGCTAAGTAACAAGATGTAGGAAAAATCAGGGTAGACATGTTGCGTGATCTCCTAGGCTGCCATGATAAAAACATACAATTAGCCAGCAGCCATGCCATATAATTAAGAAACGTAACCACCTTAGTGACAAGTGTGCCTAAATCCTTCTACATGGCAGTAACACTTTCTTTCCACAATGAGCCAAAAAAGTAATAGATGAAATAATAGAGAACATTTAAAAATCCTCGTCAACCCAAAAAACATGCAAGAAAATATATGAAATAAAGCATAAAATCAATTCCTAAGCTGAGCCTGCAGAATCACAAAGGCTGGCAAAGCTCTTTTCTAAATAGAGGTTAAGAAGTTCAGAAATAAAAATAAAAAATGACTCATAAAAATAAGATTGACCCGCGCATGATACAAAGTTGCAACCCTGTATACATCAAGTGTTGAGCCAGAAAGTGGAGTAAGCATAAATACGAAGGAAAACCTCCCCAAACTCCAAAGGATGCAATACGTATAGATTAGGTCAAACTTCCCCCTCCCACATGTATAAGAGGCATTTGCACGTACAGGATATAAACATATATAAGGGCCATCGATACAGTATACACATATACACTAGATAGGAAAGGTGAATCATGTCAGAATTTTGGGGCCATCCAAATCTCTTCTGCCTTTCTATATAACTGCCATTAAGGCTGGGCAACGGACCGGAATGGGACCACCGGACCGGAACGAACCGGTACCGGACCGGAACGGGACGGTTTGACCGGGTTGTTGACCGGTACCGGGATAAACCGGACCGGAACTACCGGGATGGAGGCTCAGTTCCGTCCCGTCCCACTATATACCGGGATGGAACCGGGACGGACTGGAATGGACCGGAACGGAACGGGATGGGATAAACGGGACGGCACATATAGCTATTTCAAAAAATAATTATTTTTTTTGAGTTATTTTGAATTACGAAAATTCGGATGTTTTTTTTATTTTTCTAAGTTATATTAGTTTATAGTATTTAAGTTTTAAAATTTATAATAATTTTACTTAAGTTTATTTTAAAGATTTTTTTTTAAAATTTTTACGTATATAAGTTTGTAAGTTAAGTTTAATAAAGTTTTTTTTTTAGTTTTTGAGCTTATGTAGTTATGTTATAAGTTATAAAGATTTGAATCTTTTGAAGTTTATAAGTTATTAAATTATACTTATAACTTGTAAGTTAAATAACTTAAGTTTGTAATTTTAAAAAAATTAAATAAACAAAAAAGAAATGCTAATAAAAGTAAATAATGACAAAAATATTATTTTTTATTTTAATTAAAAATGATTTACCGGGACCGGACCGGTACCGGAACGGAACCAGAATGAACCGGGATGAACCGGTACCGGTATAACCGGTACCAAATCATGGTACCGTTCCGTTCCGTGTACCGGTTCAATGTATCCCATCTCGTCCCAAATACTACCGGACCGGAATGGTACCGGAACGGACCGGAATGGTACCGGTACAACCCGTTCCGGTGCCCAGCCTTAACTGCCATTGACAATTAGGAAGGTTAGCTAAGCACTCCACTCCAGGAGAAAGAGGGGTTACCATGTTTTGGCAAATAAGAAGGAACACATGAAAAATCTCCTTCTTGTGTTCGTTAAACCAACTATATGAAGATACTTCTTTTTGCCCAATGTGCTTAATGGGAATTGGTCAATTCTATTGTCAAGTTGTTAAAGTAAAGGTTCCTCTTGTTTTCTTATCTGTATAAAAGTAGGCTAGAGATTAACAATCAGTGTAGTTTTAAAGAAGCAACAGATAATCCGTATCCCAAGAAACTGGATAGCAATTTACTCCCTCAGTACACTACTACTTGTCCACTATACTAAAAATAGATGTCCTGGCTTAGATAGTGTGTATAGTTAGCTAGAGATTTTTTTTTTGTAAGCTCAAATGCCATATCTTGTAAATTATGCATCTTCCTGATGCTGTTATTAATACCACTTATCTTATAAAAAAAATAAAAATAGATGTCCACTGTCCAATTTTAAAATTCAAGAGATAATTCATCACTTAGTTTCAAATTTACCCTTATTATAACAATAGTCATTTCCCAGTGCATTTCCCAAAGCATTGAATTTATTATATTCAAAGGGTGATATAATAAACTCTTCCTTTTAAGTTAGGACTAAGCTCTGCGTACGCACTATCCTCCCCAAACCACACTAGTGGGATTACACCGGGCATGTTGGTTGTTGTTGTTTTAAAGGGTGATATCGTAAAATTTTCATTTTATTTATTGCTCCTTAAGTCAAAATTGGACAAATAAAAAATGGATGGAGGGAGTAACTTCAAAATGTTCATTGTACCCTTTTTTGTTTTTTAGACAAAAGGTACTGTTGTATTCCTCAGCATTAATGAAGGCTGGCCACCTCCAAAAATTGTTAAATGTTCACTGTACCGTTAATGAGATGATTTATAGCCACAAAATGTCTAACTTATTTAAGACCACAAGTTTCAAAAGTCTTCTTTTGTTTCTTAAATTCAATCCACAGTCGATCACCATCACAGAATCTGGACGGAGGGAATACTATTTTTCCTTTCAGAGGAGACAGTTGTTAGCTTTTATAGGTAAAAATTCACAAACTGAATGACAAGAAAAGCAGAGGAGCAGTACCCTATGCGTACCTCAAAATTCGATGATACAGTCAAAGCTATTACAGGTTGACTGTTTCTTGAAGCTTCAGATTCCGAAACATTGCCTACTGACCTGGCTGTTTCCCTGCTTAAGCAGGAAAATAATAGTGAACGAATAAATTTTTTGAGAGAAGGTTAACTAATAGTGAACGAATAAATTCGTACTCAAGGAATGAAGCATGTACAATACTCACATCTAATACAAGAGAAATGAATATTCTTTAACTGGAATCAAGGTTGGGAACCATCTCGAAGAGGCTCAATAATAAAATTACCAACAGCCGATGGTACCCGAAAGATGTGGGTAATGCACAATAAGAGAATTTTACCCAAATGAATAAGCGATCCACTTTCAATGATTAGTAACAGCAATATAGAAGTTACACAGGGTTCATAAGTTAACTTCAGACAAGATAATATCTATAGAAGGGGTCGGCGAGGTTAAGGCTTCATTCACATGCTTCTGTCACAAAATGACTTTATATCGGTTTTATTCTCCATTTTATTTTATTTTTGAAAGTGGTAAAATTGTTTTTCTCTGCATCAAGGGTATGCTGGCTACCTCCAAAAAGAGTAGCAATTACAGACTTCCTATAAAATCTATAATCTGATCTATATATTCTATACAAAGTTTTTACACCAAAAAGTAAAGATACAAATACAGTTCCATTTAATCTGTAAACATCTTCCATTTATTCCCCCCCCACCCCCATATTGACCACCACATACATGATGGTATTAACCTTATCTCTTTGGGCTTTAACTGTCTCCCCCTCCTAATCCAATAGCTCAAGAGATCAGATGTATGTTCCGGCATTGTCCAGCTCATGCTTGTAATGTTGATGAACAGATTCCATAGTTGAGCAATGAACTTGCAGTGTAAAAAAAGGTGCTTATTAGTTTCCCCTGTCATGTTACAGGGGAAACACCTAGGAACCAATTGCCTGCCCTTCTTCTGTAGGACTTCTTGTGTTAGGCATGCTCTTTTTATAACCAGCCCAGTGAAACACTTCACTTTTGTTGGGATGTCACTCTTCCAGAAATAGTTCCAATGATATTTTGACCCCAGCCAGCACCTGCAAGCCTCTTTTGTATGCATTACTGACTGAAAAAACTCCATCCAATGCTATTCTTCCACAAGACATTGTATGTGACTGTTGTTATTATGTTCACTCCACCTAGTTTTCCTAGTAAAGCTGCCACCCTCTAGACCTACCAGTCATTTAATAATCTTCTAAATGATATTGTTTCATCCCTGGTCTGTCAAGCAATCACACACTCTAGCATCAAGATTTTCACAAATTAGGAATAGGTTTGGGAAAAGGTCTCTGAGAGAGGTTTGATCTATACCGCCATCCTTCCAAAATCTAGTTTAGTTACCATTCCCACCTTGATAATATATTTTCTTCCATCTGTGGCCACAAGTTTCTGATTGCTCTCCACACACACACCATATGGTTCAGTCGCATTTTCTATACACCAGGGACTCAGCTCACCATATTTTGCTATTATAACCTCCTTCCAAGGAGCTACCCCCTTCCCCAGTGTATCTCCACAGCCAATTCATCGGCAGGCTTTCATTTTGTAATCACAGTCAGGTTTCTGATCTTCAGACCCCTTTGCCTTTGCTGAGAATTACAATCTTCCAATTCATCAAGTTGTAACCTTTCCCTTCCTTATTTCCTTGTCATAAGAAATACCTCCTAAGTTTGTCCCATTTTTTTCACCACTTCTGTTGGGATTGGGAATAAGGACATCACATAAGTAAGCAGAGAAATGTAGTACAAAATTGATGAGGATCAATCTTCCACCTAAGAGACAGGTATTGTACCTTCCATCTAGTTAGCTTCTTTTCAGTTTTCTGTAGAATACCATTCCATATTTCCATTGCCTTATGTTTGTTTCCCAAAGGCATGCCCAAGTAGGTGGTAGGAATTTGATAAACTCTGCATCCCAATATGCCTACCAGTTCCTGAATCTGGGGAAACCTTATTTAAAGGGAAACGACTGTCTTTCCCCAATTTACTCTCAGCCCTGAAACAGCTTCAAACAAAAGCAGGATAACTCTTAACTAAGCTAATATGTTCTACTATAGTCTCACATAAGATGATAGTGTCATCTACACAAAGCATGTGATCGACTTCTTTTTCTTCCCCCAACTCTTTCTCCAGCGAAAACCTCTGATCCACCTTATTTGTGATGCAATCCTCATCATACTGTCAAAACATTACATTGCCAAGATGAACAGAAAAGTGGAGAGAGGATCACCCTATCTCAACCCCCTTTCTGATGCAAAAAAAGAAAACCACAAGTTCTCCTAACCTGACTTGTTTTTATACAGAACTCAATCCACTTCAACCATCTACTCCAAAATCTCATCTGACTAAGAGTGTTCAGAAGGAAGGGCCAATTCACATGGTCATAAACTTTCTCACCATCCAGTTTGCACATTATGACAGGAGTTCCCCCTTCCAATCTTGAGTCTATGCATTCGCTGACTAGGAGTGTTGCATCCATGATTTGGCTTCCCTTTACAAATGTCATTTGAAGCTTTTTGATCAATTTATTCACAACCTTTTTAACCTTTCTGCCATCAGTCCAGTAATGATCTTGTAAATTCCCCCTACCAAGTTGATTGGTCTGAAGTTCTTCAATTCTGAAGCTTCTGGCTTCTTTGGGATAAAGGCAATAAAAGTTGCATTGCAGTTCTTCTAAGAAGCCTCGTTGAAGTGAATAAACTAAATAGAATTAATGATATCTCTCTGGCCAGAATTAAGTAAATTAAAAAGTTGCATTGCAGTTCTTCTAAGAAGCCTCGTTGAAGTGAATAAACTAAATAGAATTAATGATATCTCTCTGGCCAGAATAAAGTAAATTAAGGCACTGAATCTTAATCTTCTGGCTGCTGCTCTTTTTGCATTTGAAAACATCTGGGATTTCTTTCCTTCGAGAGTGTCCACCCCACACAAGTTGGGATGTAACTCCTTTAACTTTACTTTTAGAATTTTCAGCTTCTCAGCCAAAATGTAACCTGGTCTGCCATTCACACAAAAAGACTCCCACCATTCTTTTACTCTCTCTTTAAAACCCTCCACTTCTAACCACCGTGTTTCAAATTTAGAGGAGGACTTCTTCCACTCTTCAGAATAACAGGATTGTGGTCAGAAGCTATTCTGGGAAGACAACTCTGTTTGATGAGAGTAAAATCCCCCCCTCTGCACAGTGGAAAATATGTCAATCCTAGAAGCACAAAGATTCCATTGTCACTGTGCAGAAGATAGCTAATAATCAAGTAACATCTTTGATAAAATCCAATACAGACAAAATTGTGGACCTATTAGAGAAATTCCTGGTACAAGAAATCAGGGATACCAACCTTTCCTTTACAATTTGAAGAATTGGGTAAAGGGGACCAGCAAGCATTGCAAGAAAACGTGTAGCATATTCTGCAGCATCTGAAAAGCTGTTAAGATCAGCCTGCACGAATATAACAGAATTCTCAACAGAACCACGTAATTCCCCAAAACAGCACTACCAGCTCGCCCATTTCATGTTTCAGAATAACAAAGATACTCTTATTTCTACACTTCAATTCAAAGAAATACCTCTAGTTGGGGAAGGAACACTCCCAGCCGGTTTGTGATATCTTGAAGCAGCTATAAAACCATAGATTAGACAAGAGCTGAAAGATTTATAAACACACTTGCATACATCTAAAACAAGCAATATATCACTGCTTATTAAGACAGCAATCCAATAAGTTTTATCCTTAACAAAAAGGAAAAGACTTAAAGGAATGATGTGCCACAGCACATTTATCTGACCATGACAACGTAGAAGGCTCACATATGCATCTTACAATTAATGTGTGCAACAGAAGTTCAGCAGTAGCAGTATCTTCTACCTGAAGATGTATATCATTATCGTCCTGCTTGCTTGATATTATGTGGGGTAGCAAGTAGTTGACGATCGGTTGAAACTCTGGTTCAAGACCAGTAACTGTAATACCAATCAACTGCACAGCAGAAAAGAGGGAATAAGTGATGACATTAGAACTCCGAACTTAACTAGTACCAGCAAACAACCAACAAATTAGGGGGAAAAATCAAGAAAGCAGAAGTTGAGCCCAGCTCTTTGCAACAATATCTTAGTTTCCATTGTTTCTTTGTGCCGCATCTAAGGTGGACAGTAGAATGGATTATAAAGTGATATTTATCTTTTTCTTCTACCTGATTCTATCGAAGCTATAAATGTAATCTGTGTCTGACCTAGTTGAAGAAAGGATAGCAGAGCTACTAATGAAAGAGAACAAAGAAATGGAACTTTGAATAAAGTTCAGATAGCTGGGGGTACGATTTCCATAATATACAAAATAAATTGTTCATAAATAGCAGCCCAATTTGTTCTTTTCTTCTATTTCCTTCTGAGTTTCCCTTTTTCTCAATCAGCTCTTTGTTGGAGCACAAATGAGCATATCCTTCCTTAACAGTGAAAGCTCCATCCATAGAATCCCCACCACCATCCCCAGAGAAAGCTATCTTTAATTTGAGGGTTAACAGCAACCCCAGCCAGTTAGCAGATATATCCCAGTAGTTCAAGTCATCTTCCAACTTTGAAAGTTTCTTCTGAAGAGCAGGTCCCAAGTGTACTGATGCCAATTCTGAAACAGAAGAGTTTTGAGGGTGTAACGATGAATTTTGTACAATTAAGGAGTAGTCTCTTATCCCTTATTTACTTTTGGTGCACCCATGAGGTCCCTTGTAGTGTAGAAGATCGGATGTCTTTCATACAAAACCATCTTCTTTTGTAAGTTTTCTACCTTTTGGTATACCTCTTGACTCTTGTATACAGGCTCTGCCTTTATGTTTTTAAAGAAATTATTTTCCATATATAAAAATAAGACTCTTGATTGCTAGCCATTTTGTATAAGTTTGAAAATTCATGTTTCAAAGCCACAGGGCCCAGCCACTTGTCCTTCCAGAAAAAAAACTTGAGCCATTCCCCAACCTGACTTTGAGTTGAGCCATAAGTCCCACAAAGTTTTGAAATATGCTTCCAAGGACCTGTCCCATGAGGTGAGTTTCTTTGCTTTGAACACAAGTTATTCCTCTCCCTCTATTTTGCAGTTACTACATCTTTCCACAGCTTTGTATTCTCCATATTGTATCACTAGTGTCATTTCATTAGCATGTTCTTGTTTCTTTGGCAAGTGAAAAAAAGGGACATGAAATATGTTTGGAATACTGTCCAACACACTATTTATCAATATTGACCTGACCCCAAAAGAAAGGTATTGTGTCTGTCAGGAAGATAATCAATTACTCCTTCCCAAATTACATGAGACTTTTATTTTGCACCATAAGGTAGGTCAAGATATGAAGTATGGAAGGATACCACATTACAGCACATCAACCCAGCAAACTCAAATTTAGGGACTGCGTTTACTGGGGAAAAAAAGGTTTTCATCATGTTCATGAGCAATCCTAATATAGCTTCAAAGATAATTACAGTGAGGTTCATGTACATTACTTGGGATCTTTCAGCTCCATAAAAAATAAGAGTGTCATCTGTATATAGCAAATGACATACAGTTTTAGAGTTCCCACTTCCTTTTTCCCACCTTAAAACTCTCCCGTCAGTGAAATTGAGTTGCTTTATGAAGAATTTTATTGAGACCTTCCATAGCTAAAATAAAAAGGAACGGGGGATCTCCCTGCCTGAGACCTTTCTGGGGAAAGAAAAAACTAGTTGGTCCTCCATTAATCAAAATTCGGTACTTAACAGTGGCGATACAGAACTTGATCCACTTAATCCAGACTTCCCCAAACCCCATTCTTCTGAACATTGCTAAAAGCTATGACCTTACTGGTCAGAGGCTCTCTCGATGTCAAGCTTGAAAATAAGGCCAGGCTGTCCAGATTTCAACTTCCAACCACTTCAATGCCCATTCTGGAAGTGGTTATGGAGAGATGGAGTTTAGGAGGGCATAATGGAAACCCTAAATATGTGACAAATTTTGATTCGATAAAAGGGGTGACTGATTAGATTCTACAGAACCAATTTATGGAGGATTATTATGAAGTTCCTGGGTTAGTTTCCCCAATTATCAAGTTCAACGTGAACAACAGGACTCCTTTTTGGGATCACTAGAGGTGTGACAAGATTGTTTTAAAAGTAATGCTTACTAGCTTTCTATTTCTTATGACCGATAATTCCGTTTGCGTCTATGTGCCAAACCCTTAACACCATCTGCTGCTAAACCCTTCTTCACTTAAATACCAGGTTTAGTTGGCATAGTTTAGAGCACAAATTTGTGACCTAAATCGCAAGTCCCTCCACCTTTGCCACTTGAACCAAGACTTGTGGGCCAAACTTCCCATATTACTATCATAGGAAGCATTGGTTGCAAACATGACCGGCAGACAGGAAGCAATTTAAGCTGGGATTTAATCTTAAGCCAGAATTTCGATAACTGAGGGGGGAACAGCGAAACACCTACTGTCTGCTACTTATGACATTAAAACTGGGAAACGGGAAATTTTACAAAGTCTAAGAATTCACCCGAAAGATGTTCTGCTACTACAAATATGAATATTTGTTGTCACAATGAACACGGAATATACAAAAATCTTTAAATTACAATCAAATTAATGTAGAACATAAATCCAATATGACCAGTCTTAATAAAATATACACGGATTATCTTACATATTTTAGTGAGTAATAAATGACTAGGTGACTTTAAGCTCTTAAACTTTTGGAACATGACTAAGAATTTGGATGGTTACATTTATATAAACTGTCACTAAAGAACAAAAAGGGAATTGGAGGAGTCCAACACAGCAAAGCATTATCAAACTCAAGACAAGCTCCAAAAGTAATTCACCTGTACAAAGAAAATTGCTATAGGGCTCCCTCGCAAGCAAGATATTCGAACATAACGGCATGGAGTATAGTTCATAGGGTACATCATGTCCCGTCGAGGGGCTTCACAACGTGGGCGAACTTTTGGAAATGTCTCTGGCTATGAAGAACACACAAGCAGATAATCAAGAAAACAGGCACAGTTAATCAAGTCCTCATGAGGAAAATCTGAAAGTTTTACAGCCATTGAAGTAAATTGCTGCTAGAAAATAAGAAAACAAATAGGCTATTAATAATCAACAAAAGAAGAAAAGAATAATAATATTTATGAAAAACTTGATAAAAATATCCAACAAAGAGCATAAAAGAAAATAACAAACGAAGGACATAATTGCTGCATTCTCCAGTTCACAATATTAATTAGAGAGTAAAAAAGCAAGCAAAGCATTATTTTACTAGAGGTAAAGTAATTTCCGAATGTTCTTCATGCACTAAGCTCCAACTTACAATCAAGGAGTTAAAAACTAATAGAACCTCCATAAAATTGAGAAGTCCCTGAGCGTGTGTAGGGTTCGAATCTGTGACGTCTGTTACCAACACATCACAAAATGTGATCTTACCACCAAACCGAATCCCCGGGAGCAAACCCTGATACTTATTTCCGTGACAACTTGATACATCATCAAGGAAATAAATTGGTTAGTAATACATAGTTAAAAGCTTAAGTACATAACATAATAGTCTTAATAAATTTGGGTAATAGGGGCAACACCAGACCATAATGTGAAGGAATTTAAATGTACTGGGCCTGGATACTTCTAGAAGCTACAGAGAGCATTATTAAATGCTTTTTATTACAACCGAGAAATCCATGAGGGTCAGTGGCACACGGTTCAAAAATCGGTGGATAATGGGTCCACTGCTCTACCCTTCCCGCTTAGATAACACGCTTCTGTCTGCAGCAGGATTCGAACCCATGACAAGTGCCTAGCCCACACATCATTTGTTGTACTCATATCACTAGACTTAAACCTTGGGAGTACATATTATATTTATTGTAGATGTCAAACATTTCGGTACATCTCAAAATATAAAAAAAAATCACATTTTTCCAAAGGAGATACTTCAAGGAAGCCATTGAAGGTTTTTAAGTAAAGAATTATTATTATTACTCATGGGTTTTATTGGACCATAAACCATCCTTCAGCAAAAACCATCAAGCACCTACCTCCACAAGAACCACTCTCTCCCCCATGGTGCAACCTTACGAGTACTCAATCCTTTTAGTCTAGTTCCCTTGTGCACCAACAAAAGGAGGACACAATAGTTTTCCCTCAATACAGGATACTAAATTAACTTAAGCTAGTAAAAAGGGAATCTTTCTTAGTTTAGTGATCTTTAGTCTTGATAGGTTTACCATGGCTAACATTAATTGTTTTTCGTTTGTCTTTTTCCTTTATTATTGATCATTCAATTCGATTTCTTTTAGAAATAAAAGAGTGTGATGACTACTGTTTTAGATTACTACACGTTTTCTTAACATAGATGTATATGCAGAAAAACAAAGGGGTTCTATCCTTATCACTCATCTACTCTTCAAACAAAAGAAAAAATTGAAAAGTTTCTCCTTCACACTTCAATTTTTCCATGAAGAAATTAGTTGAATCTTTTGAAATTTAATCTCGCCAATTACTATATTCTTCCATTATCAAGTTTAGACTTGTGTCATGTCGGATAAATGCCAAAAAATATTCAGCGGAAACTAGATCCCACGTAAAATATGAGTGTGTTACTGCAAATTCGATTGTAGTTTGGAGTCATTTTAGACATTTACAAAAAAGGCCTTGAAATTCATTTTTCATCTTTGAAATCAAAGAAAAGAACAAGATAATTGTTTAAAGTCATTTGCTATTTTTCAATAATTTATTCTACTTTTATACATTTTTATATATAGTGCCTGACAGCTTGACGTGATGCACATGTGCAACGCACGGACTCTAAACTAATTTAGTAAAACAAGGCAAGGTACTTTTGGGCCTCATCACAATACTTGTAACTTGTAGCAATTTTGGTAGGAGTCTGGAAGCAGCCACTTGGTGGAAACATCTTCCTTATTTAACCCTTACATTTTTAATCATAAACACTGCTTATATAAACTAGATCTTTTAACTGATAAACCCAAAAAACCCTCCAATAGATCTTCTGGGAGATGGTTCCTTCAGAGAGGACGGTGACTATAATTAGTGATTCTGCAAACCACCTTCCACCCTCCCCAATCCCATCCTGGCTGATAAACAAAAATAAACACAAGAAAAACTAACAGTGTTACAAATTTGCCTCTATGTGGAATGAGGCATAGCATATCAAGGGTTAAGGATGCCAAAAAGGTCAGTAACCACTGAGCTTCTCAGAAAAGATAAGTTGTCTTCTTTGGAAACCCGCAGACTCAGCAACAGTAACCTGATATTAAGGATATCATTTAAACCAGAAATTGAACTCCTTTATTGTAAACCCATCCATTGAAGCAACCAACTGTAGAAGGTTTGTGATTAATAAACTTACTTTTTTGATTTCAACAGGAGGTTGGTGATTAAAATGTTGTAAATAGATAGTGATTGAAGCCCTTTTACATTAGACATATACAAGAATTTAATGGGAGTAATATAATGTCAATCATAGGGATTCCAAAATTCAAACGCTTCCTATTGCACATAAATGTGAAACAAGAAACAAAAACTTCAATCATACAATCATTGATGCAAAATATCTTTACGCCTAACCTTGTAACGCAAGCCAGCTGAAATTTCCCATTCCAGCACAGACTTGTTGTAAATCCTAATATGTGAAAGTAGGCAGGGTTCCTGTATTGATGAACAAAAGCACACCAACAATCAGTTAACTCCAAAAATTAGTTATCAATAGGAAAAGGAAATAGGCATAGGAATATATAATGACGGCCATCCTAGATAAATAATGCTTAGGAAAGCAACCTTCTGAAGCCAGTAGTTTAATCATATGTAGCAGGTAAAAACGAAATTATCTAAAACCTAACAATTAACCAGCAACACTGATCATTATCAGAGAAATATTCATTATTAATTGGTGCATTTTCTCAGTAAAAAAAGAATTATTTTGAGCTTTAGGCTTCTATTGATCAAGTATTACAAGGATGATCACGAAAACTAGTTTCCCTAATGAAAGGACTTCAATTGTATACTTGCCTTCCAGCCAAAGACAGCAAATAACTGAAGAGGTGTGGTTCCATCATTTCTTAATCTACTTGTCTGTTCCATCCAAAGACAGAAAATAAACTAAAGAGGTGTGGTTCCAGCGCTTCTTCTCTTCAAAACCAAATCCCCGAGACAAAATAAGGTCTTTGTAGATCAGGGCTTTGCCCGAAAGAAGCATTTGAAGAAATTTAAGAACAGCATGCTGCAATGCAAGTCACCTAGCAGCAGTGGCCAAGGTAAGCTTATTAGCTATGGGTTCAACCGAACCCATCACTTTTAACACGGAACATGAATATATACGTGGAAAGCCACTAAGACAAAATGAATCTCATGGAGAGTAAATGATGCAAAACCCCAGCTTCCACTTAAGCCATTAGGAGGCAAATTTTTAACTCGAACACAAACCACCACATGGCCTAAGATGAAACAAACGCAATACAACTTAAGCCGTTAGAAGCCAAATATTTCACTTGAAACCAAAATCCACCTCAAGACAAGCCAGCGAAGCAAACCTATAGTCAACTTGGAGCCATTAGAAGGCAAAATTCTCACTTGAACCCGAATTCACCACATGACAAGCAAATGAAGCAAACTTAATTCATCTTAAGCTATTAGAAGCCACTTTTTTTCACTTAAACGCAAAATCCATCACATGAAAAGAAAATGAAGCAAATCCATTTCAACATAAGCTATTAGAAGTCAATTTCTAATGGAACCCTGATATAACCCTTTTGTAATGATTTCCCTTTTAGGAAGAAGACCAATTAGTTAGGCAGTTAGTTGTTAAGAGCTGTTAAAGTCAGGCATGTGACCTGCACGTAACCCCAAAAGTTGTTAGGAGTCCACTATAACTAACTCCCAGAAATCCCATGTTCCCTTCCTACACTTCTCTTATTAAATAGGGATAGATTCATCCATTGTAAGAATCTGGAAGTTAAATCAAGATCAATAGAGTATTTTCTCTCTCTTTCTCAACTTTGGCTCATATGAGCTTTGAGGAGATGTTCAAGAGCAATTCTCTTCAATTTGTTCTTTAGGCGGCTCTTATCTCTTTCTAAATTTGAATCCGAATTTCAGTAGTGTATCAAACCCAAACTCCACCTCATGACAAGAAAATGAAGCAAACTAAAATTCAACTTAAGCAAACAGAAGCCTAAATTATCACTTGAACCCCAAACTCACCACATGACAAGCAAATGAAACATAACCAATTCAAATTAAGCTACTCGAAGCCAACTCTCACTTGAACCCAAAATTCACTTTATGACAAGTAAATGAAGCAAACCCATTCGACATTAGCTACTATAATCCAAATTTTACAATTGAACCAAGAATCCATCAAATGAAAGAAGAAGAAAAAAACCCAACTAAACACAAACTATTAGAACCAATTGCACCTTTAACCCAAAATTCATCACATGGAAAGCAAATGACGCAACCCCAAATCAACTTAACCCATTAGAACCTAAAGTTACAACTAAACAATTAAAAAATACAAGAAATTGAATGAACTGGAAGTGCAAAAGATACATACATCTAATTCGAGTAAAATCCACTCTTTTGTATTGGTACCAGTGGACCAGTGATTTCTGAGGTCCGAGTCAAGTACATGGGAAGCCTTCTGTAAAGGTGATTCTCGAGACATACCCTTTACTTTAAAAGCTAAAGGCTTTACCCTCGGCTCTAACTCCACCTCCATGTTTTTGCTCCGCCGCAACTCGACTGTTAACTGCTTAGATACAGACGAACGGAGACTATGAATAGACTTGAAGTGTATCGAATTTTTCACTGAAAAATCTCTCTCAGCTGAGTAAATCCCAGTTATTTGGACATTGAAAGGACCTTTTTACAGGTTCTTCACTAATCCGGATGAACAAACGGGGCCCCGACTGGCTAAAGGGGATGAACTTTAATTGGGTTTTGGAATTTTCTTTAACTAAAATTAGCAAAACAGCAATATTTAAGTCAGACTCATTAGCAACATTTTAACTATTTATTAAAAATGACAATAGTTTAGTTTGTTAAAAGGATGATTTATGTATTTATTTTATTTTGATAATCTGAAAGAATATAAATACTTAATAATAAAATAGAGAAAAACATGGAACATAAAACATCAAAAAAGAAAAAAATGATTTTAAAGCTTTTCAGTTACGTTTTGCGAAGCGGGGATGTTGTCATTCTTTTTGTGGAGCGTTTTTTGCTCTTCCGTTCTTAATAATTCCAAACAAAAATTTGCAAAAAAAGTTTTTTCTTCCTAATCATTCAATTGATAATATTCCTAGCTTCTTCGAATCTAATTTGGCATATTCTTAAATCGGATGTTTTCGAATTCCACGACTATAATTTCGTCAGTTCTATTGAATACAAGAAATTTAGACATCATGTATTTAATTTTTGTTGTTTATTTTTGAATCGTTTAAATCTTTGTATGGTTTGAAATTTTTATTGAAATTTCGACGTCAGTTCCATTGAAATCCATAAAAAGCACATGAACACGCTGATGAACAATCATATGTTTTGTATCCAATATATGATGCATACGGTTTGAAAGTGATTGATTCTTTTTTAGTTTCATAGTTGTTTGTTCTTTATTTGAATGAATACAATTTTTTTTGTAAATATTAACAATATGAAATTATATATTTTTTTAGTTTTGAAGTTGTTGTTATTTTGAAGGTGTTGTTAATGTATGCATACAAAGCACATGAACACGCTGAGGAACAATCATATGTTTTGTATCCAATATATGATGCATAAGGCTTGAAAGTGCTTGATCCTTTTTTAGTTTCCGTAGTTGTTTGTACTTTATTTGAATGCATGCAATATTTTTTTGTATGCCATTATGTTTAATTAATTATCCTTATGCATACAAAGCACATGAACACATTGAGGAACAATCATATGTTTTGTACAACACTCAAAACCTTTTAATTAATTATCCTTATGCATACAAAGCACATGAAATACTTAAAATTGTATTTCTTCACATATAAGGATGAAGAAAATCGATGAAAATCAGTTGTTATATCTTTATATTTCTCTCTTCCTATTCATAAAAGGTTGAGTGTTGTAGACCAATTGTCGTAGTTGATGGCAGCCATCTCAGGGGGACGTATAATGGTACATTTGTTTCTGCGAGTACTGTTGATGGAGCGGGTATTCAAATTATAATATATGAAATTTAATTCGGTACTTAAAATTGTATTTCTTTTTTTGTTTCATAGTTGTTTCTTCTTTATTTGAATGCATACAATATTTTTTTTGTATGTCATTATGTTTAAAAATCATAAATAAATTAAGAATTGTATACTGACATTTGTTGACTTTCTGTAAATTATGGATACAATTAAATATTGGATTTAATTAAATATAGAACTTGAGTGCGTGCTCTATATTTTTTCTTTTTGAAGCTATTGATGTTTCAGCGCACATTACATTTATGTAATTGATTATTGGATACAATTTTTTTGTTTTAGAATACTGCAAATATGTGATTATCAAATATATATTTGTTAATGTAGTTATGGGAAGCATTAGTTTTCTAGTCATGCATTCTGGAAGGTGGAACGAGGATAATTGCTACGTTGATTACACTATAGAATCAATTGTGATAAAAGAATATGCGACATTTAGGGAATTATTAGATGTTGTTTCTAAGCAAATTTGTGTTGATTTGAGCTTCAACAGTGTGAAACTTAGGTATAAAATAGAGGGTAGTAAATGCACCTTTGGAAATACACAACGACATGGGTGTGAGGGTGTATGTGTCTTTGAAGAAAGATAACAGGGAATTGTCAAAGTATCCTCTATGTGTATCCGTATTTGTGAATGATTGTGAATTGGCTGATAGAAATATTTTGGAAGATGGATTTGGAATGTGTGGAATAGATGGAGTATCGTTGATACACAACCATTAGTGCTTAGTGTGCCAAACAATAACGATTACATGAATTGCGACATTATTACAAACACCAAACATAAGGTAGTATTGGAAGATCAAGTTTATAAGGACAATGAAACTTTAAAATATGTGATGACGCAATACGCAATTGAGCATAGATTCCAATGGAGAACAGACAGATCAAGTCAAACATGGTATGTGTATTTGAATGCATACAAGATACATTTTTTGGTCAAAAACATAACAAATACAATAATTTTTACTCAAACTAAATTATTGTATTTGTATTTCAATATGAAGTGTTGTTTTATTATTATTATTTGACTTTAAAATTGTACTTATTATTTCTCGAAATAAGTTTATTTTACAAAAATTCATGATGTATTTCAATATCAGTTAGTATCCCAAACATCATGATGTAGTTCACTATCATTTTGTATTTCAATATCAGTTAGTATCCCAAACATCATATATTGGATATTTTGTATCCAATATATAATGCATAACACTTGAAAGTGCTTGCTTTTTTTTAGTTTCATATATGTTTTCTTTTTATTTGAATGCATACAATCTTTTTGTATCCCATTATACGTGTAAATATTAACAACATGAAATTGTATATATTTTTTTTAGTTTGGAAGTTGTTTTTTTTTAAAAAAAATACATAAACTATTTTGTATCCCAGAAAGTTAATGTAACCAAAGCATGCAGGATATATACCTGCAAAATGATAAAGACATGTACAATATAGACATGAATATAAAACCTGAACTTCAAAATATTAAAATTATATTAACTAAGAAGATTGAACCAAAACTTCAGGAGTTTTTACATTAATAAAATCAGGACTGGAAAACTTTAGAAGGGTTCCATAGCAATACAAAAACTAATGTATATTAACACACCAAAAAATAGACAATGACTAGTCTATTTGAATTGTATCATTATCCTATAATGCTACATTATGCATGCTATGTCGCGGAGGTGCTTTATTGTCACTTATTGCTCCGGCATCATTCTTTTGTTGGCCATAATTCCAAAGAAGTGTAGCGTATCTTGATCGTAAAAATGATGCATCCAAATTACCCGCTGGGATCCTTTGTTCGTATGATAGGTATTCGGCAAAAGCTAGCATATAAATACCGCAATCCCTACAATACAACACATTAAAAGTAAACAATATAAAATTGATGATTTGATAATGGTGAATTCAAAAAAATACACAAACTTACAAAGTACCATGTGTCTGTTGAGGAACATTATCAATGAAGACTATATCAAAGAACTCATTCTCTTCTTGAGCTTGCGATACATCAATTTCTTTATTCTTGTAATAATTTTAAAGGGATCAACTGTGACAATTTAACTATCTCTGTCTTGATAGCTGCATCATGGCCTGCTGCTCTATATGAGTCATAAACGTTGATACGTTTATCATTCAGTGAAATCACAGCCAATACCCAATGGAATTTATTCTTAACATGGACAGGAACAAAAACATGATCAACCATATGCCAAGGGATAACAGCATGCATTATGTACCCTCTAATGTATTCACCAATGACATGCTCTTCATCAGCACAACCAACATCATTGTCTAAATCCAAATATTTTTCCCAGATAGAAGAAATCTTTAAACTAAATACACAATCTACAGTTGTGTATTTGTAGCTGCTTCCAATTTCATACTTAGCTTTTTTACGGAGATAATAGAAAATCACATCGATATGCTGACAAATTTAAAAACAAAGGTATAAATAATGTAACTACTAATCAACATTGTTAGTAAAGATTAAGATAAATAATTATTACCGAATTGTTCAATAATTGTCCTTCGAAATACAGATTATAGAACCAGTTCTTATTGTTTATTAGGAGAACGCTAAGATTTATGGCAGCAGGGAAGTGGGCTAGATGCTTCTTGTAATGGTCTTGATCATGCTTCCTAGAAACAGAATAAAAATATACAATTCAATAAATATAATTACTAATTACAACAATGAAATACAAATTTTATCAAGATAACCCATATATAGTTATGTTGTAATCATTTTACCTGAACAAACATTTTACCGAATACAAAAACTAAAATCTAAACAAACATTTTACCGAATACAAAAATTGAAATAGTTATGTTGTAAAAATATATTGTAATTATTTCTCAACTACTTACTTTTTTATCATGCTTTGTAAGCAAGCCATCTCGGACCCATGAACGAAACGCATCCCACAAAGATATATCATAATTGCCAGAGATCAAATCAAATATGAATGGGTGTTTCAATTCAAAAATAGGGGGCTGACTTGATGAACTACCTGAAATGGTTACAAAATAATAAATTAAACACACTAACACTAGCAATCAAAAAAATGATTACATTAAAAAAAGTTTAAAAAATTGGAATACTATACCAGCAGATGATCCAAAATTGGTCAGATACAGAGATATATTATAAGGACCTAGACGTCTATTTCTACGCGTAGGTAACGGTGTCTGTTCATTATTGATGATGGGTTGATCATGCATAATTCTTTCTTCGCTCGTACCAAACTGAACATCGATAGTGGTCTGATCTGCCGTATTTGTAATGTGTTCTGCAATTATAGTTGGCAGCTGTGCGGTGTGTCCTGCAATTATGGTTGGCTGCGGTACGATGCTACTCTTTATAGAAGTGAGACTAGGCATGAATTGATTGTCCAATTCAAACTGTGAATATGTGGTCACATTCATGGGATCCATGGCCTGGATAGGGACTGGACATGGGAATTGTTCCTCATTGTGTTTATGTACTTTTTCAGAATCTCCTAAGACTGTTTTTTGTGGTATATCAAATGCAAAGCTTGGCTGATTTACCTAGTAAGTTAATAAAGATATA